GGTTCGATAAAGGACAGAAATGGTACGGACCTAAGAGAAGAAGAAGATATTAAGAAGAGATGGCAAATACAAAGAAGAACAATACAAAAAAGATCTTCACAACCCAGATAACCATAATGGTGTGATCACTCACCTACAGCCAGACATCTGGAATGTGAAGTCAAGTGGGCCTTAGGAAGTATCACTACAAACAAAGCTAGTGGAGGTGATGGAATTCCAGTGGACCTATTTCAAATCCTGAAAGATGTCGCTGTGAAAGTGCTGCACTCAATATGCCAGCAAATTTGGAAAAACTCAGCAGTGGCCACAGGTCACTTTCATTTTCATTCCACAGGTCAGTTTTCATTCCAATCCCAAAGAAGGCAATGCTAAAGAATGCTCAAACTACCACACAATTGCACCCATCTCACATGCTCGTAAAGTAATGCTCAAAATTCTCCAAGTCAGCTTTCAACAGTGTGTGAACTGGAAACTTCCAGAGGTTTAAGCTGGTTTTAGAAAAGGCAGAGGAGCCAGAGATCAAGTGCCAACATCCACTGGATCATCGAAAAAGCAGGAGGGTTCCAGAAAAATAGCTACATCTGCTTTATTGATTACGCCAAAGACTTTGGCTGTGTGGATAACAAAAAAACTGGAAAATTCTGAAAGTGATGGGAATACCAGACCACTTGACCTACCTCCTGAGAAATCTGTATGCACATCAAGATGCAACAGTTAGAACTGGACATGGGACAACAGACTGGTTCCAAATTGGGAAAGGAGTACGTGAAGGCTGTATATTGTCATCCTACTTATTTAACTATATGCAGAGTACATCATAAGAAACACTGGGCTAGATGAAGCGCAAGCTGGAATCAAGATTACCAGGAGAAATATCAATAACCTCAGATATGCAGATGACACCACCCTTATGGCAGAAAGTAAAGAAGAACTAAAGAGCCTCCTGATGAAAGCGAAAGAGGAGAGCAACATGATGGCTTAAAACTCAACATTCAGAAAACTAAGATCATGGCATCCGGTCCCATCACTTCATGGCAAATAAATGGAAAAACAATGGAAACAGTGAGAGACTTTATTATCTTGGGCTCCAAAATCACTGCAGATGGTGATTGCAGCCATGAAATTAAAAGACACTTGCTCCTTGGAAGAAAAGTTATGACAAACCTAGACAGCATATTAAAAAGCAGAGACATTACTTTGCCAACAAAGGTCCATCTAGTCAAAGCTATGATTTTTCCAGCAGTCATGAATGAATGTGCAAGTTGGACTGTAAAGAAAGCTGAAAACCTGAAGAATTGATGCTTTTGAACTATGGTTTTGGAGAAGACTCTTGAGAGTCATTTGAACTGCGAGGAGATCCAACCAGTCCATCCTAAAGGAAATCAGTCCTGAATATTCATTGGAAGGACTGATACTGAAGCTGAAGCTCCAATCTTTGGCCACCTGATGCAAAGAACTGACCCCTTTGAAAAGACCCTGATGCTGGGACAGATTGAGGGCAGGAGGAGAAGGGGATGATGGAGGATGAGATGATTGGATGACTTCACTGACTTGATGGACATGAGTTTGAGTTAGCTCTGGAAGTTGGTGATAGACTGGAAGCCTGGCATGCTGCAGTCCATGGGGTCACAAAAAGTCAAACATAACTGAGAAATTGAACAACAACAACAGTAGACAAATAATTTTAGTTTTGGTGAAGTCAAATTTATCTGTTTTCCTTGATTGCTTGTGCTTTTGGTTTCACATATAAGAAACTGTTAACTAATCCAAGTCATACTTATATCTATGTTTCCTTTTAAGAATTTTAGAATTGATCAATTTTAAATTAATTTTGTGTTTATTGTGAAATAATGGGTTCAAATTAGTTTTTAAGAGCATATAAATATCCAATTATCCTAGCATATTTTGTTAAAAAGAAGACTTATTCATTCCCCATTAAATTATCTTGAAACCTGTTATGGGTTGTACTGTCTCTACTCTCCCCAAATTTGCTGAAATCTTGACTCCCAGTACCTCAGAATGTAATTTTACTTGGAAATAGGATTGTTGTAGATATAATTAATGAGAACACGCTCTTACTGAAGCAGATTGGGCCCCTAATCCAATATGACTGATAGCCTCATAGTAAAGTGGCCATATATAGACAGACACACATGGGGAAAGTGTCCTTTGATAATGAGGGCAGAGAGTGCAGTTATGAAGTTGCAAGCCAAGAAAAGTCTAACATTGCCAGAAAAACCACCAAAAACTAGAAAGAAACAAGAAAGGATATTCATATACTTTTCAGAAAGATTATGACTCTGCTGATAACTTGATTTCAGATTTCTTGTCCATAGAACTTCTGCTGCTAAGTTACTTCAGTCGTGTCCAACTCTATATGACCCCATCCCTGGGATTCTCCTGGCAAGAACACTGGAGTGGGTTGCCATTTCCTTCTTCAATGCATAAAAGTGAAAAGTGAAAGTGAAGTCACTCAGTCATGTCCGACTCTTTGTGACCCCATGGACTGCAGCCTACCAGGCTCCTCTGTCCATGGGATTTTCCAGGCAAGAGTACTGGAGTGGGGTGCCATTGCCTTCTCCAATAGAACTTCTAGCCCCTTGCAAAAACTGACCATTAATAGAGGGATATACTCGTGGATTTTCAGTTCTATTACATTGATCTCTGTCTATCTTTATATTAGTGCCATAGTTTTGATTATTGTAGCTTTGTAATACATTTTAAAATCAGAAAGTGTAAGACCTCTGAATTTGTTCATCTTTTTCAAGATGCTTTGTGTATTATTTTAAAATGTTAAAATAATATTTCTTGCTATTCCACTAAAATGTTAGGATAAGCTTGTCTATTTCTTTTTTTTTTTTTTTCATTTATTTTTATTAGTTGGAGGCTAATTACTTTACATCATTGCAGTGGTTTTTGTCATACATTGAAATGAATTAGCCATGGATTTACATGTATTCCCCATCCCGGTCCCCCCTCCCACCTCCCTCTCCACCCGATCCCTCTGGGTCTTCCCAGTGCACCAGGCCCGAGCACTTGTCTCATGCACCCAACCTGGGCTGGTGATCTGTTTCACCCTAGATAATATACATATTTCGATGCTGTTCTCTTGAAACATCCCACCCTCGCCTTCTCCCAGAGTCCACAAGACTGTTCTATACATCGGAGTCTCTTTTTCTGTTTTGCATATAGGGTTATCGTTATCATCTTTCTAAATTCCATATATATGTGTTAGTATACTGTAATGGTCTTTGTCTTTCTGGCTTACTTCGCTTTGTATAATGGGCTCCAGTTTCATCCATCTCATTAGAACTGATTCAAATGAATTCTTTTTAATGGCTGAGTAATATTCCATGGTGTATATGTACCACAGCTTCCTCATCCATTCGTCTGCTGATGGGCATCTAGGTTGCTTCCATGTCCTGGCTATTATAAACAATGCTGCGATGAACATTGGGGTGCACGTGTCTCTTTCAGATCTGGTTTCCTCGGTGTGTATGCCCAGAAGTGGGATTGCTGGGTCATATAGCTTGTCTATTTCTATAAAAAGGCATTGAAAATCTTAATAGAAGTTTTGTTATATCTGTAGATCAGTTTGAGGAATATTAGCATCTAAACAGTATTATGCTTTCCAGTCTATGAAAACCAATGTCTTTCCTTTATTTCTTCTACTTAGGTCTTTTAAAAATCATTTACAACAATATTTCATAGTTTTTAGTGTCAAGTCTTATACTTCTTGCTTAAACTATATATATATATATATAATGTATTTATATATAGAGAGAGATATGTCTGTGTACAGAATTTATCTTTAATTTTGTTAAAGCTACAGTTCTAACCAGAAGAGTTGCATTAGAAATTCAGAAACAAGTTTTTTCCAAATAATTACTTACAGGGACCGTTTCAGCTCCTACTCTTCCTAAAATTCACTCATTTAGTAATGCATGTGGGAAATGTAAAAATGACCCCACAAAAGCAGTTTGTTGAGGCAATGTACAATAGACTTGCAAGTTATTCACTTAACCAATGAGGCTTTTTTTCTCAGAGACCTCAACCATCTGCTTTCTGGAAGCCAGACTGCTTAGAGTAACTTCAGACATAGCGAAGGAAACCAGCCAATGGAAATCTAGACAGAACAGATTTGTCTAAATAGAACAGATTTCTAAAACAGGTCATTAGGTAGCCACAGAACCTCTACAAACAAGGAATTAAGTCCGAGAAATTGTGATGATAGTGTAGCTAAGAAGATCAGTGATGCTCTTTGAAGTATTTCATAAGGGTTTCTAGATATCCAAGTGCTTCACCAGCGGCTCAGTGGCTAAAGAATCTGCCTGTAATGCAGAAAACACAGGAGACGTGGGTTCCATCCCAGGGTGGAGAAGATGCCCTGGTGGAGGGCATGGCAACCCAGTCCGGTATTCTTGCCTGGAGAATCCCATGGACAGAGGAGCCTGGCAGGCTACTGTCCACGGGGTTCCAAAGAGCTGGACACATCTGAGAGACTGAACATTCATGCCTAGATATCCAAAACATATTTTACTGAAGGAGGGAAAAAAAATAAGAAATGGAGAAGCCTTTGCTCTTCTGTGCATTGAGAGCTCTTATTTTCTATTTAGGGAGAATAAATAATAGATAAAATCTAACTGTTTTGTTTTGTTTTGAATCAGCAAATCTAAATGTAGCACTGCATAATCATTGCATTCCCAAATAGTCTTTTCTTGATTATTAATGAAAAAGAGTACTACATGAGTTGTAAAATCCATAATAATGTTTAGCCAATTTTGCCTGTCTTCCTTTCACACTCTTGCCAGGTATGCATACTTTTCTGTAGGTCTATGTCCATGAAGACTCAGCTCTGTTGATCTCCCATGGAAACACCAAGTCTGATAATATGACAACCTATGATGGGTGATAAAAAAAATCATCCTAGCTCTCTGCTCCTGCCCATTCGACAGATAGCCCTAACTTTCGTCCTGTGCCAGCCGCATCTCTGAGACAAAATGGTGAAGGTTGGAATGAACGGATTCGGCCGCATCAGGCGCCTGGTCACCAGGGCTGCTTTTAATTCTGGCAAAGTGGACATCGTCGCCATCAATGACCCCTTCATTGACCTTCACTGGCACATGGTCTACATGTGCCAGTATGATCCCACCCATGGCAAGTTCCACGGCACAGTCAAGGCGGAGAACGGGAAGCTCGTCATCCATGGAAAGGCCATCACCATCTTCCAGGAGCGAGATCCCACCAACATCAAGTGGGGTGATGCTGGTGCTGAGTACGTGGTGGGGTCCACTGGGGTCTTCACTACCATGGAGAAGGCTGGGGCTCACTTGAAGGGTGGCGCCAAGAGGGTCATCATCTCTGTGCCTTCTGCCGATGCCCCCATGTTTGTGATGGGCGTGAACCATGAGAAGTATAACAACACCCTCGAGATTGTCAGCAATGACTCCTGCACCACCAACTGCTTGGCCCCCATGGCCAAGGTCATTCATGACCACTTCAGCATCATGGAGGGACTCATGACCACCGTCCACTCCACCACTGCCACCCAGAAGACCGTGGATGGCCCCTACGGGAAGCTGTGGCGTGATGGCCAAGGGGCTGCCCAGAACATCATCCCTGCTTCTACTGGCGCTGCCAAGGCCGTGGGCAAGGTCATCTCTGAGCTCAACGGGAAGCTCACTAGCATGGCCTTCCGCATCCCCACCCCCAACGTGTCCGTTGTGGATCTGACCTGCTGCCTGAAGAAACCTGCCAAGTATGATGAGATCAAGAAGGTGGTGAAGCAGGCATCAGAGGGCCCTCTGAAGGGCATTCTAGGCTACACTGAGGACCAGGTTGTCCCCTGCGACTTCAACAGTGACACTCACTCTTCTACCTTCAATGCTGGAGCTGGCACTGCCCTCAACGACCACTTTGTCAAGCTCATTTCCTGGTAGGACAATGAATTCGGCTACAGCAACAGGGTGATGGACCTCATGGTCCACACGGCCTCCAAGGAGTAAGGTCCCTGGACCCCCAGCCCCAGCAGGAGCATGAGAGGAAGAGAGAGTTCCTCAACTGCTGGGGAGTCCTTGCCCCACCTCGATCCTCCACCACACTGAGAATCGCCCGACCTCCACAGTTTCCATCCCCAAGGCCCTGAGGAAGGGGAGGGGCTTAGGGAGCCCTGCCTTGTCATGTACCATCATGAAAAGTACCCTATAGCCCCCCCCCAAAAAATCATCCTAAGTAAGCTGACAAATCTTCAATGCTAATTCAGTATAACAGTATTGCTGTATAATATTTGTATTTTTATATAGTGTCTTAAGTCAAATGAGTGACAAGTTCAAGGTTTTCAAGCACCATCTCAGACAATGATGAAAACATTTGTACTCTTCCCCCTCCTTTTTTGAAAGAGCTCAACTGGAATTCCATCACCTCCACTATCTTTGTTCATAATGATACTTCCTAAGCCCCACTTAACTTCACATTCCAGGATGTCTGGCTCTAGGTGAGTGATCACACCACTGTGAGTATCTGGGTTGTGAAGATCTTTTTTGTACAATTCTGTGTATTCTTGTCACCTCTTCTTAAAATCTTCTCCTTCTGTTAGGTCCATGCTATTTCTGTCCTTTATTGAGCTCATCTTTGCATGAAATGTTCCCTAGGTATCTCTACTATTCTTGAAGAGATCTTGTCTTTCCCGTTCCATTGTTTTCCTCTATTTCTTTGCATTGATGACTGAGGAAGGATTTCTTATCTCTCCTTGCTATTCTTTGGAACTCTGCATTCAAATGCGTATATCTTTCCTTTTCTCCTTTGCTTTTAGCTTGTCTTCTTTTCACAGCTATTTGTAAGGCCTCCTCAGGCAGCCATTTTGTTTTTTTGCATTTCTTTTTCTTGGGGATGGTCCTGATTCCTGTCTTATGTACAATGTCACAAACCTCCTTCCATAGTTCATCAGGCACTCTGTCTATCAGATCTAGTCCCTTAAATCTATTTCTCACTTCCACTGTATGATTGTAAGTGAATTGATTTAGGCCATACCTGAATGGTCTAGTGGTTTTCCCCACTTTCTTCAATTTAAGTCTGAATTTTCCAATTAGGAGTTCATGATATGAGCCACAGTCAGCTTCTGATATTGTTTTTGCTGACTGTATAGAGCTTCTCCATCTTTGGCTGCAAAGAATATAATCAATCTGATTTCGGTGTTGACCATCTGGTCACGTCCATATGTAGAGTCTTCTCTTGTGTTGTTGGAAGAGGGTGTTTGCTATGACCAATGCATTCTCTTGGCAGAACTCTATTAGCCTTTGCCCTGCTTCATTCTGTACTCTAAGGCCAAATTTGCCTGTTACTCCAGGTGTTTCTTGACTTCCTACATTTGCATTCCAGTCCCCTATAATGAAAATGACATCTTTTTGGGGTGTTAATTCTAGAAGGTCTTGTAGGTCTTCATAGAACCGTTCAACTTCAGCTTCTTCAGCATAACTGGTAGGGGCATAGACTTGGATTACTGTGATATTGAATGATTTGCTTTGGAGACGAACAGAGATGATTCCGTCGTTTTTGAGACTGTATCCAAGTATTGCATTTTGGACTCTTTTGTTGACTATGATGGCTACTCCATTTCTTCTAAGGGGTTCTTGCCCACAGTAGTAGATATAATAGTCATCTGAGTTAAATTCACCCATTCCAGTCCGTTTTAGTTCACTGATTCCTAAAATGTCGACGTTCACTCTTGCCATTTCCTGTTTGATCACTTCCAATTTGCCTTGATTCATGGACCTAACATTCCAGATTCCTATGCAATATTGCTCTTTACAGCACCCTTGCTTCCATCACAAGTCACATCCACACCTGCGTGTTGTTTTTGCTTTGGCTCCATCTCTTCATTCTTTCTGGAGTTATTTCTCCAGTGATCTCCACTAGCATATTGGGCACCTAATGACTTGGGGAGTTCATCTTTCAGTTTCCTATCTTTTTGCCTTCTCATACTGTTCATGGGGTTCTCAAGGCAGGAATACTGAAGTGGTTTGCCATTCCCTTCTCCAGCGGACTACATTTTGCATGCCCTACAGCAGGGCCAAAAGAATAAACAAACAAGTAAACAAACAAAAACCCATTTATTACCCAGGCTGTTGTTTTGTTTTTGTTTTCTTTCTTCTCAACAGTCATAAAGGAGTAGTATAGTAAATGATTTTAATAGTCCAGGTTCCAGAGCCAGTCTGGTTTAATTTGAAAACAGCTTCTTGCCTTTTTGCAACAGTATGATCCTGAGAAATTTACTGAAACTGTTTCTTACTTTTATTGTTTGCAAAACATAGATAATAATGGCAACTTCCTCATAGTTTTGGGGAAGAGTACATGGATTAAATGAGTTCACATATGTGAAATGCTTATAATAAGGCCAGACACAATATGTATAAATGCAATGTTAACTCTAATTATTTTGTTATTAATTTACTATAGTCTTTGCGATTTGTGGTATGTCAGACTATTCCCTGGTACTGATATTTTAAAAAATATATCTTCTTGATGAAACTTAAGTATTAGATTTTAAAATTATCTTCCAATCCAGTATGAATTGAATAATTGTTTGTCTGTTTTTTGGTTTTTGGTTTGCTTATTCCAGCCAAGTTGAAGATATTAAAATTGGAAATTAATTTTATCTAGTATATGGAAAGTCTTCATGCCAAACCTTTTTTCCAAGCTCTATGCCTAGCTTTAGGGATGATGGTGGTCATACAAGGTGGAGTTAAAATTACTGTTGGATTTTTTTGCATTCTTTCTTACTTGGTAGAAGTCTGACCCTGGGTCCTGGTTGAAAACAAAAGCCAGGCCTACTTCAGTGATTGTGTGAGAGTCTGTCATTGTTCACATCTAGAAGTATGAGTATGATGTCATATTTGCAGGAAGAATTCTTCCCCAGGATGCAATGGCTTGCATATGTGATGAGACCAGAAATTCATGATACCCTACTACAATTTTGGAACACATAGAAATCACAGTTTTTAGAGATGGAAAGAAAAAGAAAAAAAATATAATCTAGTCCATTGACCCATTTTCTAGACTAGAAAGCCCCAGACATCAAGTCCCTTGTGAACATTTACACAGACAGTTTAGAGGGAGAAGTCCAGAAAGGAATTGTCTGACTGTTCAGTCATTGTCAATTCTGTTATTCCAGAATTATTATTTCACATCAACACCAAAGGGTCTCATGTTATAAATATTTGTAACTAATTTGAAGTAATTATAATGTATTAGCAATTTAGGAAATCTAAGATATCAGAATCAATCATCAGATAATCCAAATATAAATGATTAACAATTACCTAAGGCTTATTTTGGAGAAGGAAATGGCAACGCACTCCAGTACTCTTGCCTGGAAAATCCCATGGACCGAGGAGCCTGGTAGGCTACAGTCCACGGGGTCGCAAAGAGTCAGACACGACTGAGTGACTTCACTTTCACTTTCACTTTCAAGGCGTATTTTAAGATACTGTGCTTTTGAATTAATGATATAGCACTTACAATAAAGTACTAACATGTATGAATTCAGCTGTAACATTTAGCTGAGTGTTTTTTGTCTGCCAAGTTCTCAATGAATGCTCATAAAGGAATACTAATAATTTGAACACTATCTGAGTGCCCCTAATATCAAATAAGATAAAATTAATATAACTTAATAAAATTAAATTTAGAACCTTTATCCTATTGATAGTCTCTTTTGCAGTTGATCCAATTTTTAAAGAGCTATTCAAAGTGTACTTCAGGTAGCATAAAATGGCTTATCACAGTAGTTTCAAATGCATTACTTTAACTTTCTTTGAAATACTTTCTGAATGTGCATATATATTCAGTGATAGCACTCTAATTCATAATTTTTGATAGGCCTCAGATCTTCTAAATCTTCCTGTTTAAAGAAAATATCATTGATAAATTTTGTGTCTACTGCTTTTGCACTCTTGCTTTCAACTAATGTCTTGCTTATGGTTTCAGACTTTTGGCCTTTTCCTATCAGATACTACTCCCTTTAAGATGCTTATCATACCTTATTTTCTCTTTTTTCCTGCAGATGACTTATTAATTATTTGTTAATCTATCCATTTCATTTAGCTCCACCTAGATTGCTGGTCTTTTGATGACAGAAGTCTGATTTAGCACTTCATCCCCTTGCTCAATGCATGGCCAAGAAAGATACAGGCTAGTTATTGTGAAATTTGCAAAGATTTTCATGTCACTGGGGTTATTTTATATTTCACATGCAATGGCTTGAAAACTTTAATCCCACTCCCACCATTTCTAACATATTGACTTATTGTGTATTTGAATGTCTTTTTTTCCTTGTA